TGCATGGATTTAAAAAATAATTTTCATGAAAATGAACTTATCTTTTAACTCTGCATTTCCCAAAAACTTTATGAAGTATCCTCATATGTGTACAAATGTCTTCTAAATGGACTTATTTTATTATACTATGATAATATTATCCACTCTCCTTTAAACTAAACACCAATATTATCTGGGTTGGTTGTGAGAGAAGATGAAAATCGGATCCATTGCAAAGGAGAGTGGGGACTCTAATTTGAAAGGCAGAAACAATTCCTTACATTTTGGCAGGTTCCTAAATATTACAAATAACAAATGAAGTATGACTATGAAGCATTAGGCATTTTTTAAGTAAAATGATAAAATAATGAAAACAGCTCTACTATAATACAAAAAAATTTATTCTTTCTGCTCCATAACTATTTTCACTTTGCCAATATTTTTTGCTTTTCATTATTTTTCCTAAGTATATTTATTCTATTTTTCTTAAGATTCTTGGACACAGAGTATTTTATTTTATCCTCTTCCACCAAACCATTATTCTTTCATGCATATATTACATTTTCAATAAAAACCCAGTAATCAATAACTTGTTTTTTTTTTAATCTGAATATTCTTTAGACTAAGGCCTAGATAAGAACACTTGCCAAAATGTAGCCACATAGAGAATTTCAGGGCTTATAGCTCAAAAAGATTTATAGCTAACTATTAGCCCTAAGATTTTAAAAAGGATGATAGTTACCAGGAAAACACCTGAACTGATCATTTGGAATGTTGAAGGGACTCAGAAATACAGGTATTCCCTTTGCTGAACAGGGAGGGTAAACAATGAAAACCAAGGAACTAGGGCTTTTTGTCCTGTTTCTCTCTTCTTCCCTTCCTTCCTTCCTTCAGAAAAAGAAAACTGTTATTAAGCACCTATGCCAGACACCAGGCATACTAAGATGAGTAAGAGAGCCCCTCATCTCAAAAACCTGACGTTCTATTGAAGAAGGTAAGTAATCAGCCGGACTGCGGCGTGAAGCTGCTAGCATTGAGGTAGTCTGGTGGAACTCTGGGAACACAGAGCGTGGGCCTTAACTAACGACTCTCAGAAGACTCCCTGAGAAAGAGATGACACCTGACGTGGACCCTGAATGACAAAGGCTTGAAAGTGGGTGGCAGTGGTGGAAGTGAGCGCTCGTAGGTACGCAGGCAGAGAAGCCTATTAGGTTCTGGAGATAAAAGTTGAAATGCTTTAAAAAAATCTTACTTGTGTTCACACCAGTCTTTTTCCTACAAAAGATTCAAAACTGTTCCTCTGTAAAGTGACTGCTGAGCGTAGTCAACGCCATTGTTCTCCAGTCATGCATCTTCGACACATAACCCATAATCAATTATCAGAGGTCCACACTCCACAGTCCTTATCATGTCTGTAATTCTTCGTGGACAGTCCCCGGCACTCTTTGCTTATTTCTCATACAAAAGCACTGAGAGGGATTCTGTTGATTGTGGAGCACTACAGTCATGCTGTGAAACGTCTTTCTTCATCGTGTATACCTTAGCATAGAGCAGCACCGATGCTATTTTGGAATATGACAGAATCTCATTTCATTCTTGCTATGTTTCTCATGTAACACTATCAGATGCCACTATTTTAAAAAGGAGGAAACTATTACTTCATATATCTTTAAAATAGAAAATGTCAAACATTCAAAACCTTCAGGTAGTGTCTCAGAGTACAGTGTTTTCATTCTTTTGTGAATAATCAGAAGATTAAAATATGGTTAATTATTTGCTCATACTATCCTTGGCTAGAAATAAAGTGATAGAATTTAACATGACTTTCAAAGAACAAATGGACTACTGACTATAATATTCTTTTAAATTTTGCCGACAAGAATTTATAGCTGTTTCTCACATATATTCTGCTTCAAAAAATACTGTTTGTAGAGATCTATTGTGCACATTTTAAAAAACCTCCCTTTTCTACTTAATGATTTATGCCGGAAATTGTCTGTCATGTTTCCAGAAAAAGAGCACAAAAGATTTCTGATTGAGCTTTGTTCACAATGAATGAGGTGGGAGGTGATACAGGTCAAAAGAGCCAAGGGTGTGAAGAGCCAGAGCATGAGTTTTGAAGTTAGATGAGTCTAATTCAAATCTAGGTTCTTCTTTTACTAACTCTTTCTTCTAGACAATAGGAGTGATAACCATGGCCTACTAAAATGTTCTGAGATCTGAGTTCTCTAAAGGATGTAAACCACCACAAATACACAATAATCCAGTGTAATTACTAGTAGTGGTAAAATAATGTCTTCCTAGGAATTTGTAGACAGTGGCTTTCATGAAATTATCCCAGGACATCTATAGAGTGAGTTACATATTGAAATGGAAAATCCTATGGGAAAAGGATAAATTTAAATTGCAACTCAGGGGCTGGTGCTGTGGCATAGCAGGTAAAGTTGCCACCTGCAGTGCCAGCATCCCATATGGGCGCTGGTTCGAGTCTCAGCTGCTCCACTTCCGATCCAGCTCTCTGCTATGGCCTGAGAAAACAGAAGATAGTCCAAGTCCTTGAACCCCTGCACCCATGTGGGAGACCTGGAAGAAGCTCCTGAATCCTGGTTTCGGATTGGCCCAGCTCTGATTGTTGCAGCCATTTGGGGGGTGAACTAGCAGACGGAAGAGTTCTCTCTCACTCTCTCTGCCTCTGCCTCTCCCTCTCTGTAACACTGCCTTTCAAATAAATAAATAAATTGCAACTCAAATATAAAAATCATAAAAAAACAATAAATAATTTCTTTACAAGACTATAGAGGGTCCCACTTGGAATGAGTTAATTTTAATACATTATCAGTAGGGCTTTCTGTCTAATAAAAGTCCTGGGTATAATATAAAAAGAATAAAATGATTACTTCATGTAGTTCTTTGTAGTATTCTCACTTTAGGTTCTTTGCAAAATTTTTACTTGAATAATAAAAGTTGATTTTCTTCTAAGAAGAAAGAAAATGAGCTTCCATTAATGGGATTATTCTTTGGGTTTTCTCAAATGCAGTACATCAGAAGATTAATTGCTGTGTACAATCAACAAACAAAACAGCATGGTGGTGCACCTGAACCCCTAAGCAACATTAATGGGCCATTATGAAAGTGTATTTTTATATTAAAAAAAAAAAACTTTTAACTTCTCAATTTCTTGTTTTTAGCTCTTAAAAACATAAGAATATGTAATATATTTTGATAATAGATAAAAGGTAATTTACAGAACAGTAATACTCATATCAAAGCATTTGTGTAAAGAATATGGCACTGGGAACCTATCAGACTGCACATAAATACTTTGCAGAGGCAGCAAGGACGGATAGCAGCTGCTGCCAGCAGTTTTCTCTGGCAAAGAGAAGCCAAGCATGCACAAGGACAGGGGACAGTGCTTTTTCTCTTTTACCTTGGATGATAAGGTTCTTTTTCAGTCCTTGAAGTAAGGAATTTCACCAAAAACAGAACAAGACAAAAGACCAACAGAGAGGTAAACCACAGAAGGAGCCACTGATGCCTACCCACATCATCTGTGCTGCTTCCTAATGGCAACAGATTTTTGCAGTGAGCACAGAAGCTGTTTTCCACGTGTACATTGTTTAAAAAATAAATACCAAGTGCATATTCTAAGAAGTACAGCATAATTGAATTATGCTTGGAATTTATCACACATGTCTCAGTAGAGGATATGACAGGAATGCTTGATCCACGCTCTCTGAAATGGCATGAAGTGGTGCCTTGGGAGTGTCACTCCCCATGGATTTATGTGACCATGGCAGGCATGATTTATCTTACTGTGCTGCTCTACTGGGCTAGAAACAATGCTCACCTATTCATGCTTTAAAAAACAACAACAACAACAACTCTGATCTGCCTCTGAAAAACCCAAAGAAGACAAAAACATTCAACTGTTTACTCAGGAAGTCAAGGGCAAGGCTCTTTAAAGAGCTGGCTGATCTGCTACTCCCTAATTACCTTACAACACTAAGCCCTGACACCAGGCTTGTCAGCAGATTTTATTTACAACCCTTGAGGAAAAATCCTCTTGCTATTTTCACTTCATACAGAAGATAAGTTTGCAAAAGGAAGCACTTGGCAGTACTTCAGATGCTCGCTGTCTGGTGGTGTTGATAATGCAATTCTTTTTATTATTATTATTATTATTATTATTATTGCTGCAGCATTTAGAAGGCTGTATCATTCATATAGACCATCGTGACCCAACAGAGTGACATAATTCCTGCAACCACCTGAGTTGTTTTAGCCACTTCTCTCGCTAAAAGTTTAGAATCTGGCTACAGACTGCTTTTATGCTGAATCCTATTGTTGAAAGATGTCATGCTCTACTGGGCATACCTATAAAATGCCTTTTATCCAAATAAAAGAAAGTCACCTGACCTGCATGAAGAATGCTGATAATTCCACGTGATTCACAATGTTAATGTTATGTTTTAAAGGGAAAGTCAAATTTCATGCAGATTATGAACAGGTAATTTCAGTAAGTTTTTTCCTTTTTGCTAATAGAGTCAGAGTCACATAATCCACAAGAGCCTCCAAATAAAATTCTACTTGCATTAAAGTCACAATTTAATAAATAAAATACCTCCTAAATAAAAATGCACTCAGGGAGAGAAGGCCTACAGTCACTGTTTTTTCTTTCTAGTTACAGGAAAAAAAATCAGTGTGACTTGGTATCTCCACACTGTGTTCCTGAACATGTGAACGGCATCCCAGAAACTATACAGGTACTCAGGCCACTGAAAAGTCTACCAAAACTGCACAATGCAACAGGTGAAAAGTCATTTGTGAAACACACATGCCGGCTATTGTCTGTACCAACTCCCACAGGTGAAGCATCATATTCCACAGCACAGCTGAGCAGCATAACCAATATATGGTCTAAAATTACACACTTTGGAAACAGACTATATCTATTGTTTATTTCAAAATGTAACGAGAGAGACTGAGCAGGGCACAAATAAAATCAAAATGCATTTACTCACTGTGTTAAAATTTGGAAAGAGCCCAACAGCAGAACTACTGTCCACTGGAAAAGACATAAACGGTTTGATATCCAGTGAAGGCTGCATCATCAGGGTAGGTGTGCGCACAAGAGCAGGAAGGGTGGTAGTGTGGCATGTACTGCCTGCCAAGAACAAAACAAAAATGATTTCAATCTGTCACTCACATGCATCATCCTCCCCAACCTACAGTGCAGAAACAAGACGACTGAGCTGCAACCTGCAAGCAAGAGCGTTACACCGGAGGTAAGCAAACGGCACAGGAATAGTAAACACAGCATAAAAGGATCTTCTTCTTCATTGTCGAAGACAGTGATGCAGAACGCTTCTTCATGGCAAGAGTCATGTGCTGCTCCTGCAGATTCTGCCAAGACTCGCAGTGCACAGATCCTACTGGCAGGTGGGACCGGAAAAGGCTCTGTTGTCCATAGGTTGCCTCCCACTAGCCAAAAATGCCAGAGAGAAGAGGGGAGGAGCCTCTTGAAGCCAGATGCTCTTTACTATTCAGAGTTCCTGAATGGCCAGTAGGCATGTTTTATGCAAATAAGAGATAATTGCAGGGTTTTCACAAGAGGAAAAAAACTTGAACTCTTACACTTACTGTCTGCTCTCAGCAAAGTTATGACTCAATTAAAAAAAAAAAAAAAAAAGAAGAAGGAGGACCGGGAAGAAAAGAGCAAGAGGAAGAAGAGAGAGAAAAAAGAACAAAGAAACAACAGGGGCAGACTTTTGGACTAGCAGGTAAGATGCCAGTTAATATGCCTGTCCCACATTGGAGAGCCTGGGTTCGAATCCTGACTCTGGCTCTTGATTCAACTTCCTGCCAATTTAGACTCTGGGAGGCAACAGGTGATAACTTAAGTGACTGCGTTCTCGCCACCCATGTGGGAGACCTGGATTGAGTTCCTGGCTCCCTGCTTCAGCCTTGGCCCTTGCAGGCATTTGGAGAGTGAATCAGTGGATATGAACGTCCTCCCTCTCTCCCTTTCAAATATAAAAAAAAAAAAATTAAAAAACAAAACCTGAAACTTGTCCTTAATTTAGGGAAATAAAGTAGTCTTGATGTTGACATAGATAGTGTTTTGGGGACTCAAATTTTTTGTCTTCAACTTTTATTTCTAATGAGTTTGTGTTATTTGAGCAACTACCGCCTTTTAACAATTGTCTTAGCTATCACTCTTTAGCTTACTGGTTTAACGCATGCATAGCAGATTTTAAATGCTCTTCTCCAATAATCAGTATTTTCCTTTGGCCTGTAGCTTCCTATAGTACACACATAGGTACAGGTGGCTGACTGAGAGATAGGTAGGCTCTGGCATGCCTTTTTTTTTTTTAACAGCTTTATTGAGATATAACTCACATACTCAATTCACCCACTTGAAGTACCTTAGTTTTTAGCACATTCACAGGCTTGTACAACCATTACAAATTTTAGAACATTTTCATGACGTGTAAAAAGAAACCCTGTACCCATTAGCAGTCACTTCCCATGTCCTCCCAACATCCCTAGCCTCTGGGCAATCATTCTATAGATTTATCTATCCTAGATATTTCATTTAAATGAAATAATGTAGTATAAGGTTTTCATGATTGGCTTTTTTTTTTTTTTTTTTTGGACAGGCAGAGTGGACAGTAAGAGAGAGAGACAGAGAGAAAGGTCTTCCTTTGCCATTGGTTCACCCTTCAGTCGCCGCCGTGGCCAGCGCGCTGATCCGAAGCCAGGAGCCAGGTGCTTCTCCTGGTCTCCCATTCCCATGCGGGTGTAGGGCCCAAGCACTTGGGCCATCCTCCACTGCACTCCCGGGCCACAGCAGAGAGCTGGCCTGGAAGAGGGGCAACCGGGACAGAATCTGGCGCTCTGACCAGGAATAGAACCAGGTATGCTGGCACCACAGGTGGAGGATTAGCTAAGTGAGCCATGGCGCCGGCCCATGATTGGCTTCTTTTGACAGTGATTTTAAAGCTTACCCATGCTGAGGTAGATATCAGATTTTTATTCCTTTTTTTTGGTTATTATGAATACTACTTCTATGAGAAACTGTTTAATACAGTGTGTGGGACACATGTTTTTTTTTTCTCTCAGGTATTTACCGAGGGGTGGAATTTTGGAAATTGCTGAGTCATATGGTAAATGTATTTGACCTTTTGAAGAACTGCCAGACTGTTTTCCAAATAGTTGAACTATTTTAAATTATCACTATCAGTGTATCAGGGTTCCAATTTCTTCAGGTCTGTCTGCATAAGGATCACATAACAATTACATGCTTAAAATCCCCTACTAAGTTCAAAAGAAATGAACAATATGAGAAAGTGCACCAACTATCAAAATTTTTACCCATCTCTTTCTTGGTGATATAGGCAGGCAGACAGGATTAAATCAATTAGATTTGTGAGTTGGAGACCATGCCTTTGTGCCTTTGCCCTGCCCCCTTTCGTTATCTCACACCCCTACCTGATCTCACCAGTATGCTCACCTGCCAATCAAACTATGTAGCCACTCCCCTTTGAAGTGAATAAAAGGCCTGGAGCACTGTGGGCCCTTCCCTGGTTGTCCATGCCTCTGGGCGGGCTCTCTGCTTTCCTGCCTGCACTATGCTATCTGTGGCTGCTCCTAACTGCAGGCTTGCTCCTCGTGGCTCCCAGCCTGCTCTCTGCCTGGTATGGACCCAACTTATGTTCCTAGACTTCTTTCTCCCCTAAATAAAAACCCTCACTTTCCTTGGTGGTTTTCTAACTGAATAAATGCTAGAATAAATGCTGAATAAATGCTGTACCATGTTGCCTGTTTCATTTATAAGCAGCCAATATTTAGAATTCTTATTTAAATATATGGCAAGAACTTTCGAAATTTTTTGAGTAAACGTCCCCAATTTCACTGGTGTCACAGAATCATTAAAAGTCCCCTCTATTTAAGTGATATATTTTGGTAATGAATTTCCATAATAAACCCTACATAATTTTTTAACTCATTCCAGAACATTATTGGTAGTGGTGTTCAACAGTCAGGAAGCATTTGTATTGATCCTAAAAACATAAAAAAAAAAAAAAAAAAGGAGAAGGGCTCCTGCATTGATCTGCAATAGCAAGTCTTTAGGACATTGCTACCCATTGCAGAATATAGAGTAGGATTCAGTAAACAGGGAATCAGCTAGAAATGTAGCTTGAACAGTGATTTTTTTTTTTTTTTTCTGATGCTCAAGTAAATTCTCTGATCTCTGCCTGGCATTCACATAACTACTCCCATATTTAATTACACATTATTCTTCTAATTAGTAACGTTCTATCCATTGCTAAGTTTGATGTTTATAGAGATCAGTATGTCAAATATTGCTGATACGTTCATTAAGATACTTGCTTTAAAAGCTTTGCATTAAAATCTTAGCTAAATTGAAAAAGGGATGTTTCTTATATTAGATCATTGGCCTTTTATAATGCATTACTACTATGATTATTGAAAGTACAAAGAGTAGGTAAACGCAACCATTCTACTTAAAGCTGCTGATGAGCAAATTTGTAATTATTTTGCCATTTGTGGGTCTTTCAGAGGGAAGCAAAGTTCTTTCTTTCATCCCACAATGGTGGCTCTGATAACAATGGGTAATACAAGGCCTCTAAGGGCCAGGCGAGAGCCACTTTGTACTAACAAACTCCAATCAAACAGAATGCAACAGGGAACTTGACAAGCAGATTGCTCCATCAACAAAGGTCAGAATGCATAAGGATCCCCCTTACCCAATCAAATCTCTATGCTAATAAAAACAAGGCTAGAGAACTACTTAGCTGCCACCATTCATTAGCATAAAAACTTCGCAGCTGTTTACCATTTCATTAGCATTTTAATGACAGACAATTTGCCATGTTAAACACAGATTGTTTTAAAGTACTGGTAGATCTTCTGAATAAATATAAACTCTACTTTCATCAATTTCACCAGAACCTTGCTGTTTTCACTTTTAAAACCTACTATTTAATACAACTTCACCAAGACTGATTGCTTCAAAGGAAGTTTTTGCACATGGAAAGTGAATAGGAATAAAGTACATTTTTCTTGCACAGGTTATTTCATGCTTTGATACCTCAGTCGCTCTATTCCAGATTTTTGCTGTTGCTGCTGCTGTACAAAAGCCTCTCCTTATCTCTGGGTGCCCAAAAGTGAGAGGGGGTTACAAGCAGAAATTTGACCCAAATGCATTGTACCATACCAAAAAAATGCTTGATTTCTCTAAAAGCCTAGGACTTTCAGAGGGGAAAAAAGGCTGAAAATATAATAAGCTGGCATTTCAATACAAAGGATGGTATAATATACCTTTTACATTGCTGTTTTCATGGGACAGAACCAACATTTGTATTTTTATGAACTATTTGGCAATATGTAGCTCTGTTTCAAAGCATAGGATATAACCTGGTATAAATCATAATGTGACATAATAACACGGCTCCACCTTATCTGATAATGACTTTTATTAGAGAAAGAGAAAGAGAGAGAGAGAGAGAGAGAGAGAGAGAGAGAGAGAGAAACATGCTCCTATCCTCTGCTTCACTCTCAAAATGTCCCACTGGGAACTCCCATGTTGGTAGAAGACTACCTGAACTATCACCTGCTGCCTCCCAGGGTTTGCATTAGCAGGAAGCTAGAGTCAGGAGCCAGAGCTGGATATCTAACACAGGAACTTCGAATGTGGGTATCTTAACTAGCGTCTTGAGCACTTGACCAAACACTCACCCAGACGGTACAATTTCATTTATAGCACTCAATATATACATATATATTTATCAAACTCTGTGTATTGAAATTAAGTGTATATATACACAACATGCATATCCCAAAGACCTAACAGTACCCGCTCTCACTATGGAAACTCCACCTGTCCATATCCTTTCCCCAAGGAGTGTAATTAATGCTCCCCGTAAGTTGCATTTAGATAGTAAAATAAGTAAGGGTGACAGGAAATTTCCCCTCCACTCTCTGGAGGTCCACTGAAATGAACAGAGAATGGACAGGAGAAAAAGTATGCCAATTTTCTCACATGCCTAACAGGAACCATACAAAATATGAAACTCAATGAAAGGGGGAGGGTGTAGGCAATTTTAGAGGTGTAGAAAATGATTTTTTAGGAGAAATTTA